GTGGAACAGAGTATTTTGAGCTTTGAAGATGTAGACAGCCTAATAATGCAGGGTTATTAAAACATCTTTGAATGAAACAAAACCCAACTACAGCTATGTTTTTGAGCGGGAAACAACCTTCTAACATGGCTTAAAGCTTTCAAGAGTCAATTCTGAGTAGGACCATTAAATTATATAAGATAAATATTAAAACTAATATACAAATAAACATTATTATATCTGCCTTTAGTCTCTTTAGCTTTTATATACAAACTGCTAAAAAGACTGTTTAAGTTATTTTGAGACAGTTACTTATTTAACGGCATATTCAACATGTTAAATGGAAATTAGCATTAGCATTAGCATCGGATATAATCCAATTTATTTACATGCCACATGTTAATTTCCGTTAAATTAGGCTAAGTAAATGTACACATAAAACTGTATATTAGTTAGAAATAAGCATAAAAAAAGCAAAAACAACCCTGTCAAACACTTAACACTTGTATACTAAATGAACAAATCAATACTATGCTAGCTCATTTAGCATTTTAAAATATAACTCTCCTGTAAAGTTTGCTAAACACTGCTTTCAGTGTAAACAGGCCCAACTCCCTCCGGTCCCATTCCCCACAGCTAGCTCCATTAATCCTGAGCTAGCATCTACTTTTATATTAGCAAAAGAAATCTGGTGCCCTCCCATACATCACCCGGGTCAGATGATCAAATATTTACCCAGCGCAGTGCACAGAAGGTCTGCAAATATTGAGTCAGGCATACTTCACCTCGTTTAGGTCCGATCAGGGTATGATGGATGGTGCTAGCTAGCGCCATATTGCAAAGCCTAGTTACAGCACAGCAGGGCTCCGCTGCTAGCCATAAATCTTGTTCCTCTGATCTGCCTGGGGACCTGCTCAAGTTAACTTCCACAACTTAAAACAGAATATTACTCAAGTGGAAATAGAAAAGTGCTTGTGCAAATAGCAGTTAATTTAAAGGTCTAATATAATGTGAAATTGACTCTTGTGAGCTTTAAGACATAATGTTACCTAAAAAAAATACCTGGAGTTGTGTTTTGTTTCATTCACACATGTTTGAGTAATCCTGTAGTATTAGGCTGTCTACATCTCCAAAGCTCAAAATACTCTGTTCCACCTGGTGATGTCATGAAGCAGTAGTTTTAGTTGAGTTTAGTTAACAGATGCCTTTGACCTTTCATTTAGTAGTGATGAGCAACTTCAGGACTGAAATGATCAAAATAATCACAGTGAAGATATGTGAAGTTGAAAAACACAATTGAGCACTTCCTGACATCACAAGGTGGAAGAGAGTGTTTTCTGTTTGAGAGAAGAACTAGGTCTAAATATGCAGCGTGTTTGTGTGTTAAATAGGGTGACCATATTTCTGTTTGTGAAAACCCGGACACCTTACCAGGGGTGAGGGGTGGGACCTCATCATTGAGCTACTCTCACCTCGCAAACTGTACACATGGCCTCCCACTTGTCCCAATCGGGACAGAAAGCGGGTAATTTCTAGTACAATCTCGTTAAATGCGCATTTGCACTTTGGCATGTTGCAGGCTGACCGACTGTTTGCTCGCTCCTTCTGAGTGCACAGAGAGCTACGAGAGCTGCTCAACTTAATGGCCCAATGAAAGATCATGAAAACCCGGATATTTCCATCACTTTATAAACAAAACCCAGACGCCCAGGACAGGACGCAAAAAACAGACATGTCTGGGGGAAAACGGACGTTTGGTCACCCTATGTTACACATGAATGAAACAAAACTCAACTCCAGGTATGTTTGTGATGACGAAACAACATTATAACATAGAATAGAAAATAGTGAATGTATCTACTTTAAATGTCTGTCAAATTGACATCAATTATCAAAGGATCATCAAAGGATCATAATAAATCTATTTAACGTCAACATTTAGGATATATTCAGACTGCAGCCTGTAGTGACACAAATTCGATTTTTTTCGCCCCTATGTGACCTGTATCTGATTTTCTAATGACAGTCTGAATGACAAAGATCCAATTTTTTCAAATGTGACCCAGGCCACTTCAGTATGTGCTCCTAAAACCAATCAGGGACCACTGAATTCAGGCCAAATTGGAGGTTTCTTATCGGAACTGGGCAATTTCTGAAATGATTGCCAAAGAAATGGCTGAGCGCAGCTACAGGTGGTCCTGGCTCCAGTGTCAACGAAAAATAAAGAGCCTGCTTGCCAAATACAAAGAGGCTAAAGTCTCAAACGAAACGAAGCAGCCATGGACGTGTAACCTGTCCATTTTACAAAGAACTGGACCATATTTTGGGAGACAAGCCCGGGCGTTTAGGCTACTTCCGTAAACACTGAGTACATTCACTGTATGACATTGTTAAGTCCTCCAATGCACATGCAGGACACTTTTGGGGCATTTAAAGTTCACAGTGGAGATCACAAACAAGTCGCATTTAATTGGAAATGTGAAAGCAAAAAAATCGAATTTCACAAAAAAATCCGAATTGAGCATTAAGCCCTGCAGTCTGAACGTAGCCTTAGACAAACTTTATTGAGTCACAAGGGAAATTATTTGTACACAGCAGCACACACGTCACAATATATTACAATAAGAGCAATAATGTAAATGGTAACTGGAGTTAAATAAGGCAAAATTAGGCTGTGCAAAAGTCTATGTACAACTAAAAAAAAAAAATCGATTGCTTGATTATCTGTTTTATTTCAAGTTTGTGCCAAGAGAGAAACAATAATCATACACACAATACATATACAGTTATAAACAACAGATAAGCACATTCCTCAAAAATGTTTTGAAATATCGTAATATAAATATATCTTGATGAAAAATGAAATAGTAAATTTCACCTCTTGAGCGTAAACGTTAACTAAGTAGCACCCAGCTCCCACTAGCTAGCCCCACATGGTCAGACCCAGTTACAGCACAGCATGGCTCCAGAGCTATAGCCATAAATCTCTCTCTGATCTGGATGTGACCGTCTCAAACACAACGGCTGCTCCACGCTGACTTTTGCTTACTTTGGTGGATTCGGACTCCCCGCTGAACAGTAGTAAAATCACACAGGAGTCTGATCTTTAGCTAGGAGCCCCTTCTGAGGTCATCCATCACCTCCTGCCAATGCTCCTCTCATCCATTATGTGGGCCTGGTGGTTTACTCAGAACTCTGCTAGAAGGGTTAAGGTTTGAGGGAGAATTTGTCTGTGAAAGAGATTGGTGGTAAATCCAAAAAGCAAAGGGTAATACAGTCATTCTTCAACGGGGGAGAAATAAGAAACATGCAAAACCTATAAAAGTAAAAAGGAAATAAAAGTTAAATTTTTATGCACTATATCACATTTCTGCTGGATGCACATTATGGCATTTTGCTGGAGACAAGCAAGTGGCACACCCCCCTCCTCTAGAAAAGTTACATAGTGCACCTTTAAAGCTACCATCTGCTAGTTTATTAGATTTTTTTTCACCAGTTCTTTATTTATTTCTTTAGTTGATAGGGACAGTACATGTTAATGAACAGCTATAAATACAGTGTAAATATGACAGAGTATAACAAAGATGTTAATCAGACTACAGCAATATAAGTAGCATCTGGTGGTTGCAATTCCAGTCAAATGAAGCTTACTGAGGCTTGCACTAAAGGGGCAAAGTTGGAGCTCCATATTAAGAATAGGTATTGATTTATGGACAAAACAGCAAAATAAATGTCATGTAGAGCGGGCGAATACAAACATTTTAAGACCAAAATGACTAGCCTGACAGCAGCAGTTACAGAGAGAGGGTTGATGTTTTTTCAACATAAAGTGAATTGAAGGCAGAGTTGATGGAGCCGCGCCCATGCTCACAGTGGCCATCAGGTTAACTCTATCCATTTATATATACAGTCTATGATGAGAATGCAGATGGGATTGCACTCAGTTGTGTTTAATTTATATAATATATTTGGATAAATAGACAGATTATTTGTTTATTAACACAGTGGATGAGCACGCAGCCTGAGTGGCGAAAGTGTGTTTAACATGAAGTTGCAACACTAGCTAGCTCTGTTGTCAGCGCACTAAAACAGTTTATAGTCGTAAAGTTCCAGGTTCAACTCCCATGTCACCTGTGCCTGTCTGTCCAGAGCGTGCATGTTCTCCCTCTGTCTGCTTGACTTTCCTCCAGGCAACCCAAAACTTGCACTATAAGCACAATCTTCCAGCTAAATCTTGACCAAGCTAGTCTACCAGCTAGTCTTGACTAAGATCAAGATCTGGACATAGTAAGTCTCTTGGCAGGTTGCCCCAGCGGCACTGAAGAATGAATGGGTCAAATACAGAGGGCAGATTTCCCTACAGGGACAGTAAAGTGTAGCCAGGCTAGCGCCACTTAGTGCCTCCGTTCAATTTCATTTCTTTCCAGCGACTAGGTCAGGAATCGGAATATACTATACAGTTTGCAAGAACCCCGGAAGTTGTAGACCGCGCACCGACCAATCAACGAAGAGCGCCTCCCCTGATGTCAAACTCAAGCGCCTGTCTGGTCCCTTTTGTTGTACAGCACAACAGTAAACAAAGTGGTCGAGATGGATGTAGACAAAAGCATACATTCTGTGTTGGCAACGATTCCCGAGATTGAGGATTTAAAGCCGGAACAAACAGAATGATTGGTGAATTTTATCAAGGGGAAAGACGCTATTGACCTTCTTCATACGGGATTTGGCACATTATATATGTCACGACCAAATAGCAGCGATTGGTTACATTTTTAAAAAGTACCTGTCTACTGTCAAGGGAACGAATCCTAATATTGTGAGGTCAGACGGTTTCCACAAAGTGAAACCGGCTGATGAATCAGACTAGGTTAAGTGTACATTAACCTTTAACCTTTCAAACTAGTTGGTTTTACATTGGTGGATTTTGAAAGAATTTTACAAGAATTTGAAAATGTTCTTGATGTGTCAAAATGTAGATACCTATTTAGAATAATTATGTGAATTTGTTTGTTTTTCCATAGGACCGTATGTTTGTGCTGGAAGAGGAGAGTGTGAGCAGTGGGAAAGGCCGCTGTCCCTATGACCCCAACAGTCCCTGCACCTCCACACTGTCCAGTAAGTATCTCCTCCACTGGTTATTTACTGCGTAACAGTTTAGACCATACACTGCCGTTACAAAGGGTGTTTTATTGCTCAAAATACCTAGAAAACATGTATAATTACTATGAGCAAGCTTGCCTCTCCATACAGTAACTCCTTCAAGGTACTTTGAGCAATAAAAACACCAGTAGTGAAATAAACACTTTGCAATAGCTGAAATTTGCATGCACAGTGATAAAAGAAATACAAACCAACACGTCTCTGGTCTCAGTATGAATGTTTAAACCACTGGTCGTAATGCTTTAAGTGAGCAACACATTTGGACAACATTCTAACATGCCTTAAAGCTCACAGAAGTCAATTTTGCATAATATAAGACCTTTAAAGTCCTTTCAACTGACATCAATCATGTCTTTGTTGTTGAATAATGGGACCATTTATAGAGGCCATAGTATTTTGACCTGACCTCCAGCTCAGTTCAAACTATATGGATTCTTTAATGTTGTAATGACACATGAACACGACCTATTTGAAGGATATGTTTAAGTGGAGAGAAGAAATGCAGAGAATGCATTTCCCTAAGATCAATCAGGAAGAACACTTTAAAGGTGCCAAAGGACAGCTATTTTTGTTCAGTCCAGGCTATTTCCGACTTCAAAAAGACATTTTTTTTACACATTTATCAACCAGCTACAAACAAAGTAGGCAGAATAGTAGCTTAATATTTTTGAGCATAGAATTATATGAATTTTTTGATATTTCAGTGTTTGAGAGTTTAAAATTAGACTTTGATTTAAACAACTTAGACAAACTTTATTGATCCACAAGGGGAATTACTCGTAAGGAGAACAGTGCAAAGATGATATGATGATTGACAGGACATAGGGCACCACATATTACAAAATGTGGTTAAATTTGACAAGGGAGTTCTTTTGTGAAACTATACAGAAACGGACCCTTAAGTTATTAGTTGACCATGTAAATGTATATAGCGTGCAATCTTATGTTTTTTAAAAGATATTATAATCACAACTGAACCCGAGTTGTTAGTGCATTAAGCTACAGATAAAGGACACACACACACGCACACATTTTTCTCATTCTCAGTATATGGACTGGCCATGCCTCATGTGAAAGCTTAGAATCTCCAGAATTCCCTCACTGAGCTGTAGAGGCTGCACTAGCACTGATTAATGATTGGAGGCATTTTAGTTTTTAGACCACCTGAATTTCAGTCCTAGTCTTGTCAAAATAAAAACTCTTTGAATTATGCATTGTATGGTAAATAGCAAAATTACTATATAAAAATAGACTGCAAAATATAATCTGTAAATGTAAAATGGATGGATTTCTCAGGTAATAAGTAATACAGAAGTTACAGACAGGGTCACCTCTTTCAGCCAGTCAGGCTAAGAATCATGGGAACTGCCTAACGTGTTCCCAGACACTTGATTTTCAGTCATGGAGCATTTTCAAGAGTGGCATAACCACAAATATCACTAGTACTATGAGGAACTAAAATGAAACCTGTGAATGACATTTTCTCAGACACTAGTTTCTGTAAGTGGCGGGGCTAAAACTCTAAATTAAAACATATTCTCAATTTATGGTTAGAAATTAGGTGCAGGTGCTTTTTAACACTGAGATGCTGTAGCATCTCTGCACTCTTTCATGTCCAGTCACTGCTGCCCTCTGCTGGTCCTTGAAGCAAACTGCACACTGTTATAACACACGCTGTTGCTGTTATTCAGGGGGAGAGTTGTACATCGGCCTGTACACAGACTACTGGGAGAACGATGGAGCCCTGTGCAGACTCAACAACCAGACCTACACCCGCACAGAGAGGGACGACCGGCAGCAGCTCAACGGTAGGGCATCTGACGCAATCTCACACCATGTTCACAATAGATGTTCGTTTAAACTTGCTATATCAGTCAATGACCTTAGAAGTGAATGTTATGGCAGTGTATTGAATATCCTGGAAAGCATAGGAGACAAAAGTATATACACTGCATTATACTCATCTGGGACAAGCATGCTACACCACCAGACCAAGTTATGGGTCAAATCTGTGGAGAGTTTCACTGTAAGAATGTTTGTTTACCAAGGCATATACAATGAAAGTACTTATAACTGAACAAATGCAAGATATAAGTTTAATGTCATACTATGAGATATTACAAGAAAAGCTATAATATCTCCATGGAGATAAGCAATGGTTTGTTTCTATTTCAATATCTACAAAGTTGTTTAAGTACTACTATTACTATTGGTTTCTAGGACTGCCAGATCTGCTGATATTACTACAGTGACTACACAAATGTTAAAACAAAGTAATAAAAATAATAATTAAATAAAAGATTTGCTGTCTGAATCCTATGCACATCATTGATTAAGAAAATTAAATTGGATAATGAAGTAAGTACAGTGGGCATGTTCTGGGGAGAGTGAAAACAGGAATTGATCAGCAATATAGCTTCTTGAATATAAGTGATTAAAGATTACTCAAGCATGCATGAATCACTCCAAATATAACTTTAGGTGAGTAAATGGTGAGGGGAAACAACTATAACAAACACTCTAAAAAGTCCATTTGGCATAATAGATCAGATTTAAATGAAAACGTATTTGAAATCATCTTACAACCCCAACCTGGAAACCACTGCTTTGACTGACCTGTTGCTGTGTTTTTTTTTTCCAGAGCCGAAGTTCGTTGGTTCGGCGGTAATCCCAGACAATGAGGACACAGAGGATGATAAGGTGTACTTCTTCTTCACTGAGAGAGAGCTGGACCCAGAGGGAGGGCACAGGGCCGTGTACACCCGTGTGGGACGAGTCTGTGCGGTAAGAGCAAATGATATGTTCTATGTTAGGGTTACTTCAGACCATTTAATTTTTTCTGTTGTTTTGTTCATTTATATTTCTTGCAGATTTAGATTATTAAAGTGGGTCTAAACACCTAAAGTCCACCCCAATCACATTTCAGTTAAAGTTGCTAAACAGTGCAGTATCTGGAGGACTGAAGAAAAAAGTGAGCGAGGTTGGGGGGGTGAATACCTAGCTGGTCTTCACACTTCAAATTCTCCTGTTGCAGTGACAAAATTATACAAAATCTAATTTTCAGAGCTTGTAATCATGTTATAGTTGTTTCTTCTTCTCATTTACTCTCTCAAAGTTGTATTTGGAGTGATTTGTGCATGTTTGAGCAATCTTTAATTGCAAAATTTAGACTGAATAGACTATATGAATAATTCAACACAATTTCACTCCAAATGTTGTTTTTCTCAGAATGACCAGGGGGGACAGAGGATGCTAGTGAATCGTTGGAGCTCCTTCCTGAAAACTCGTCTCATCTGCTCCGTGTCAGGACCAAATGGCATCGACACTCACTTTGATGAACTGGGTACGAGCTATATCATTATGAACAATCACAATATCACCATATCAAATACATGAATTTATTTTATTTATTTTAAGATAAAAATTCCCATTTTGTTCAGACAAGCATGTTTCTGGGGCGGGATTGCCTCTCCATACATCTGACCTGTAACTTAGTCTGGCACTGTCACCTTCTTGTCTCCATGGAGATATATATGTCTATTTCCATGACCGTCCACTTGGAGAGGTAACAGGGCCTCCTCCTGCTTGTATCCATGGAAATGTTGTTCTTTTGGCTATAATATTCCACAGTATGGCATAAAACTTCTCCATGGAGAATGTTCCAAAGTACGGTACGGTGACCACCTCCAGAAAGTACATGCTGTACCTTTAATTAATAATGTATTTATTATTGCAGAGGATGTGTTTGTGCTGAGGAACAAAGATGATAAAAACCCAGAAATCTTCGGCCTGTTCAGCACCACCAGGTAAAGGACTGAAAAGAATAATGACAATCTAAAAAGACACAAAACTGAAATATCCCCTGCTAATAGTGCAAAGAATCCCATGACTTTATAAAGTGTCTGTTGAAGCTTCAGCAGTTGGTGCTCAAAGTTTCTAAAAGTCGGTGCTCAAAGTTTGCAGTAATCCAAATGTATTCCTTACTTACCTTATGCATTCTAAGCATCCTCATTATTCAAGCACTTTTCACAAGGTATTGAGTGGAATTTGGCAGCCAGACCTGTCACAGTAACAATGCTAACAACAACTAGCATACTAAGCACACTTCCTGATTCTCTTACAATAAAACGCTTTATAATGCTGGGACACAACAATTTGCTCAAATACATGCAGAAATTTGGTACAGAATGTAACATCATAACATAATACTTTTAACATACTTTTTACTTGCTTCTCAGTGAAAACCTGACTTGTGTTTGTGTTCCCCAGTGCTGTGTTCAAAGGCTATGCTGTGTGCATCTACACCATGGAGGACATCCGGGCTGCGTTCAATGGGCCTTTCGCCTACAGGGAGAGACCAGAGCACCACTGGAGCCTGTACGAAGACCGCATCCCCTACCCCCGACCGGGATCTGTAAGTACTACTACTAATAGCCGTATCTGTCTGAAATAGTGTGCAAAATCATTCTCCCCCCCAAAAATCATGTAGCTACTTTTCAAAAACGAAAACATGCCTTGCGTCCTTGTAGTGTGAATGTGTAAATCTTATAAAGCATTCCTTCAGTGGAGGTGCTGTTTTGTCACATCTCATTGAATTTTCCATTACCCTAATGTTAAAACAATGGAGATTTTAAGCTGATAAATACTAAACTCGTTCAAAGCATTCTAACACCACAGTGTGATAGATGTATTTACCAATAAAGAAGCAGGACTCTATAGGGTTGTACCACAACTCTTTTGTTTACTTTATAACATTTAACTTTGGATAATACTGTTTGAACGTTTTGCACTGTGGCTAGACAAATAGTGTATTTTGCCCATAATGTCTGTTTTCAGTTCTGAGCTCTCTTGGTGGTGTCATTATTCCAGAATGAGGGGGCAAAAAACACTTTTTCCTACTGATTACTTTGTACTTTGCCATGAAATATCCAAAAGGTACAAGGCACAAATGTTAAACCTAATCATATTTATTAGTGACTAGACCCAAGAACTTGCTATTTTACAAAAAAAAAAAACAGTGCCTCATCTGTATTAAAAGCACTATGCATTGAAAAACTGAATTAGTTCATTTTAAACAGTTTGCAGTGGTTCATTTCCATTCCTCACTTACCATATGCAGTCTGAGCATCCCAATTATTCACCATGATGAGTTTATGAGCACTACATATATATATATATATACATATATATATATATATATATATATATATATATATATATATATATATATATATATATATATGACCTCAGGAGCTGCTTATACAATATATCTACACTGGTGAAACAATTTTGCTCAGATACATGGGGAAAAAAAAAGATATGGGATCTTTAATATAAAATAATATGATATTATATAATATAATAATGTTTCATCATTATAAACATACTTGGAGTTGTGTTTTGAGTCATTCACACATGTTTAACACACAAACCCTGCAAATTTAGGCTGAGTTCAAACAAAAAACACTGTTCCATCTTCTGATCATGTGGCGATACAGGAAGTACTCCATACATCTTCACCTAGACTCCAAACATCTTCACACAAAGCTAATTTCAGCCCTCTAATCTACTGAACTAAAAGTGAAAGGTAGCTATTAACGTGATAACTACCACTACATGACATCACAAGGTAATAGCAGGTTACTATTTGTCAGTTAAACAAAGCACAACTCCAGGTATGTTTTTACGGAGGTATTATAACAAGAGTCAATTGTATGTAATTTAGGACCTTTAAATATCACTGGACTATAGAATGTTATGATGTCAGCCAAAAATAAACTACTCTTGCTGATTTGCTAGTTCCAATCCTGTCCTCTGTGTTGTAGTGTGCCAGTAGGATGACCGGTGGGGCTTTCTCCAGTTCTAAAGAGTTCCCAGACGAGGTGCTGCGTTTCGTGCGCTCTCACCCGGTCATGTACAGACCAGTCCTGCCCCAACACAAGAGACCTGTGCTACTCCAAACTGAGCCAGGCCACAGGAGACTCACCCAGATCGCCGTAGACCGGGTGCAGGCTCAAGATGGGTACTACCATGTGCTATACATCGGGACAGGTACATGCACAATACAGGACCACACTGCAAAAAGCAATATCTAGGTAAATTAAAAGGCTTAAATTAAGAACATTTTACTTTATTTGAATAGATTCAACTTCACAAGTAAAATGATCTACCAATGGAATACGTGTGCTTTTCTTAATTCAAGCAACATTACATTTTGTTTCTTATTTTAAGTGCAAAGAGTTGTTGTGTTTCTTATCTTAAGTGTAGCAAGATGTATTTCCATATTTTAAGTAGAAAAAGTTTTGTTTCGTTGGTAGATAATTTTACTTGTCGAGAGAAATTAACTCAAATCATGATGAAACTTTCTTAATTGAGCAATCTTAACTTGGCTAGATTTTTGTTTTTGCAGTGCACTATGATTGAAAGATGCAAAAACTAAAATCTAGCCAAGTTAATCATGATCAGAATAAATTTCACTTCAAGTAAAGTGACTTACCAGTGTAGTAAGACTTTTTGTGCTTAAAATATGGAAATACATCTTGCAACTCTTAAAGGTGCATTGTGTAACTTTTCTGGTGGGGAGGCCTGTCAAATGCTTTTCTTCATAGAGGGTTATGTAATGATATTTCTTTGTCTGGAATGTTTCGTGATATGGTATTAAACCTTTCTATCTTCATTGAGACCAAACCAGACCAAGTTACATGTCAGATCTGTGGAGAGGCAACCATGTTCTCAGTCAAAATGCCTGTTTTTCCAACGTGTTTTTGAGCTATAAAGCCACCTGTAACTGATGGTCTGTTTACACGAGAACACTTGGGGGTAAAAACGACAAAACATTTTATCGAAGGTGCCTTTCGTTTAGATGGTGACAGCATTTTTGGGGATTAAAAACACAAAAATCTGAAACCACCCTCCAGAGTGTAAAACTTGAATACGCTCCGCCGCTCACGTCGTGTACATGTTTACCTCACATACATACAGTACACAGAAACAAACATGTTAGATGGTATGCGTACCCAACTGAATTCCACACACTTTTGCGTCACCGTATGCATGCAGATTTCCTCCTGAAAACACTCGTCTAAATACAGAATAAAAAGTGAAGATGAGACACCACTTTTGCATCTTCTGTTCAGTGTAGCCTCAATAAATGTAAGGTAGAGAGCAATGACATATCCATAAAAACAAGCAGTTGACCTTTCACTTGCCTATATATTGCTTTTTGTAGGTTAGGCGTAGGTCATGTGACAATGGAATATTGTACAATCTCTATCATTTAAACTAAGCTGGACAGGTCAGAATCCTATAGTAGACTTTGTTGTTTAACTGTCAGACTGTAGATCATAGACCTGGTTTACCTGGTATGTAGGTACATGTACATCATAGACTGTTTAAAGTCTAAGGGAGTGTGACGCCACCCACAGCGCTCAGCTCCAGTCAAATGAAGCTCACGGTGCCAGCGTTATAGGTGTGAATTTGGAGTCGAGTTCCATGTTAGGAATTGGCATTTGTTTACGGATAAAATTGTGAAATCAAAATACCCGGATCATGTGGAGCTGACTAATACAAACATTTTAAGACCAAAATGACGAAGCTCACTGCAGAGTCAATGGAACATGGCAGCAAGCAGTTCAACTATGTCCATTTATATATACAGTCTGTGATGTGCATATGTATGTAAGTTAGGTAGGTATGACCATTATTATTATTAGTACAGTTGTGCATGTGCAAGGAAATCTTCTGTTGTGTGAGTCTAAGGACAGGTGAAGAGGATGGAGCAGAGGGCAGAATCAGAAGTTCACACTGGGACAGGCTTTAACACAGACTGACAGACAAGCAAACCTGCAGCTAGATCCAGTGTCTCTCATCCTCCTCCATCACCTGCAGTTTGTGACTCGTATCCATTTAAAGTTCCATACCGACCCCTGCCATGTCTCTCCTGTTTTTAGACGACTCAGCGGTTCTCAAGTTTATCACCATCTATAACAAAGACACAGACACCATGGAGGAGGTGCTGCTGGAGGAGCTGCAGGTCTTCAAGGTAAAGCTATGAAAACACTCTGTGCAGTAAACCTGTTCTGTTTGGGTCTAAAATGAATCCATATAACATTTGAGCTTTATAAGTCAAATTAGTAGTAGCTGTACTGTAGTTACTGCAAGAATAGGTTAGGTTAAATCAATCTTGCCCTATCAATGTTGGAGGATGGGTGAAATGCAGAGAATTATAATGCATGTTTAGGTGATTTTTAGCAGTGAAAACATCTGTTACAGGATAAATGCATTGCAGTGTATTTGAATTTAATGCCATATTATGGAATACTCCAGGCAAAGCAGTCAAATCTCCATGGAAACAAGCAGGGGGCGTCCCGTCCACCAGAAAACTACTCTTTTTTTAAAATGGATTTGAACAGTGGTGGAACGTAAACAAAGTAATGGTAGTTACTGTACTCAAGTAACACAAATTTAGGTGTCTGCACTTTCTACTCTTCTACAATTTTTCAACTGAATGGAAAAGTAAAAGTACTTTTTATTATTGTTTGAGACCTGGCGAAAAGGCTGACGGGTTCATTTTTAACACATTCATAGTGTGAGCAAAAATATATACAGTATACAAATAAAAACAGCTAGGAAAACAATATTAATTCAGTTGTTTCTGCTGAACAAATTTCAGCACAAATCTTTATTAAAATCACTACATTTGAAGCTTTATTAGATCTCAAAATCTGCACAAAATACTTTTACTTTTTACTCTTAAAGTACAACAGCTACTTTAATACTATTACTTAAGTAGATTATTTCATGTCATACTTTTTGCTCTGGTATCTGTACTTTTACTTAAGTAACAAAATTGTTCCACCACTGGATTTGAACCATAGACAATACTCGAAATCCAAATTTAGCTCATCTCCAAAACAACAACTGCAAAATTATCACATAGTTAATATGACTTTATTTCCTTTCAATTCACACTAAATATGAAGGACTGAAATATTAAATGAAACACTTTAATAACTTAAACACAAATACAGATATGACTTTAAAAATGAAAACTGTTTAAATACTCTATGAGGTTTTGAGGAAAGATCAGCATGTTTTCTGTAGCATGGTTAAAAATAATGGTTTTGCATTATAATTAAATAAATATTATAATCAATTACCTGACCGTTATGCGTGGACGTGTGATTAAAGTGTGATTTGGGATGGAGTGAGTGTAACTGATATGTCCTGATGCCCTTCCTCAGCTCGGGGAGGTCCATGGTTGTAATGGGCTCTAGACAGTGTGACTAATGTATGCTGTCAATCATTATTTAAGTGCCCTGGTTTACAACGATTATGCAAAACAGGGAACACAACATGGCAGAATTGTGTTCTAGAAGCCTGCAGAATATTCTTACAGTACCAAGATTGTAAATGTCAAAATAAAATGAGATAGACAAGAAAGAAAGAAAGAAAGAAAGAAAGAAAGGAATAAACTGTTTTTATTACCAAATATACAACATTTACATTGAGATTTAGTCTGTTTTGTCTGATTTTCAAATTTTTTGCTGGTTAAATGCACAGTTTTTTGAATTCCTGCAAGACGAATGTGCTGTTGTGATTTTGGCTTTCACAAAAATAAAATTGAATTGAATTGAACTAAACAGAAATAAAATAAAAATCAGTGTAAATGCTCTACAGTGTATTTATATTTTTGATTATTTATCAGGGACAGAAAGGTGCCAAAAGGTTAAAATGCTTCTTCAAAAACACACCAAGAGCTGTGTTTTGTTTCATTCGCACATATTTGAGTAATCCTGGTTTATTAGTCTGTCTACATCTCTAAACTCAAAATGCTCTGTTCCACTTTCTGATGTCATGTAGCTACTTTTTACTTTTAGTCCAGTAGAGATTGGCAATTCCAGGTCTAAAATCATCAAAATGATTCTAGTGAATTTGTATGAAGTTTTATTTTATTTTTATTTTAACCAAGGAATGTTTTGTTTTCTCAGGTGCCTGCTCCGATTCGAGAGATCATCATTTCCCCCAAAAGAGTAAGTCCACTGTGTACGGTTGTTTATCCTGTAATACTACTATTTGACCACTAGGGGCTAACATTGTAACACATACAGTACTCTGAAGTGCTTCCAACTCCCCTTTAAATGCAAAAGAAAAAAAAAAAGAAAAAAATAATCACCATGACTTTGTAGATATGTCACCCTGACCTGTCATTCAACGTATGAAACAGCCAGAATCTGACAACGTTCTTTTTTGTGTTGAATAAGTTTACAGCATCATAAAACTAGCACAAAAAATTGCAAAAAAAAGGGGAAAAAAAATCTAAAACTCTTAATCTCATAAAAGGCCTATACAATTTGACCACAATTATGTAACTATGGAGACAAGCATAGGGCAGACCAGACCTTCAGAGCTAATTTAGTATTATATTAAAGCTAGTCTAAAATAGAATAATTTATCTCAGTATTTTATGTAGCAGCATACTTTTACTCCTACTTGAGTAATATGTTTATTGAACAGTATTCTTACTTGATTGTGTGTAAGTCTACAAAGTCAGGTCTTGTCAGTTACTCTTTAAGTTTCTCTTACTTGAGTAATTTCTTGGACTACTACTTTCTACTTCTACTTGAGTAACATTATTTTGAAGTAAAGTTACCCATAATACCTTTTTATATACTGACATGCCCCCCTTTTTATTGTCTCCATAGCAACAGCTGTACGTGGGCTCGGAGGTGGGTGTGGCTCAGGTCCGTTTGCACCAGTGTGACCTGTATGGCTCTGAGTGTGCAGACTGCTGCCTGGCCCGGGACCCCTACTGCGCCTGGGACGGACTCACCTGCTCCCGCTACTACCCCAACGGAGTCTACACCAAGAGGTAATGTACTGCCTGTGTGTATGGGAAGGAAGGTCTGAAAAAGTGCAAATCTTTAAAGGTTCACTGCGCAACACTTCTAGTGGAGAGTCCGTCAACTGCTTGTCTCCATGGAAATGTTACTGCTTTGTCTAGAATGTTCCACAGTACAGATAAACCTATCTAGACAGTGAGGTTACAGCACTAAGCTACATTACAGTTCAGATCTGTGGAGAGTCGCCCCTTTTCACAGAAGGAATTATTGCGTTTTTAAGCAACAGATACCCCTGTAATGAATAAATGCTGGATGGACATGATTAATGTCATACCATGGAATATTCTAGGCAAAGCAATAACATCTCCATGGAGACGAGTAGGTAACAGATCCTTCACCAGAAAAAAAGTTGCACAGTGGACCTTTTAAGGTTTTATGTTGTTACCTTGAAAAGTTGTGATGAGTTTCATTCACACGTTTGAGTAATCTTAATTTGGTCTGTCTACATCTCCAACCACCTTGTGATGTCACGTGGTTTACAGCTAGGCCTACCTATAGCTGGGTACTACCTTAGAGATAGGGTAAGGAGCTCAGTCACACAGGAGGAGCTCGGAGTAGAGCCGCTGCTCCTCAATGGCGAGAGAAGACAGATGAGGTGGCTCGGGCATCTGTTTAGGATGTCTCCTGGGCGAGTCCCTCGGGAGGTCTTCTGGGCATGTCCCACCAGGAGGAGGGCCTGGGGAAAACCCAGGACATGCTGGAGGGACTATGTCTCTCGGCTGGCCTGGGAACGCCTTGGGGCGCCCCTCGGAGGAGCTGGAGGAAAAGTCCGGGGTGAAGGAAGTCTGGAGTCCCTACTTATTTCTGCCCCCGTGACCTGGCCCCGGATAAGTGAAAGAAAATGGATGGATGTATGGACCTACCTTTTACCTTTAGTTCACTAAAGATTGGCAGTTCTAGGGCTGATATTATCCAAATGACTCTAATCAAGGTATATGGAGTTTAAAACACATTTGGCTCTTTCTGTATGGCAGCACAAGGTGGAACAGAGTGTTTTCTGTTTGAGAGAACAACTCAAGGAAAGAAAACCGTGTAATATGGGCCATTTAAACAGTTTTTCCTGCCCCAATCCTTTCACCTTCCTTCTTCTACACTCTTCTTCTCACTGTGTAGTGCTCTGATCATGCCCTAAATGTCACCATGCTGCCTTAGTCATTATCACCACACAGCACATATGTGTTAGTCCATACGATCCATTTCCAGCTCCTTCTCACCTTTAATATGAGATGTGTGAAAGAATATGTATGATAGGGTCAGGTACAGGGGCTCAGATAGCTGGGTTTCAGATGACATCGCAACATTCTATAGGCCAATATCATTAAATACAGATGAGGGCAAGTAAATACAGTTAACATTTATTTTTTGTTGTTGTAACATACCAAGTTAATGGGTTTAGTCACCAGAGAATATTATATTAAAGATTTGTGAATAAATTTTTTGACTATTTCATGACAAATTAAAATGTTATTAATAGGGAGAGGCTTAATGTTTGGCAAATGTATTGTAGTATATGGCAGTTACAGTTTCATGACATTTATTTTAAGATTTGATTGTTGTTTTTTGTTTTAGTTTTTTGGCAACTTGTCTTTTTTCTTACTCATTTTATTTTATGTGTTGTTTTGTAATAGTTAAAGGGTCCATATTATGCTTTTTCCTAACCTATGTTATAATGCAGTTTTCTCTTAATAAAAATACTTGGAAATGTATTTTGTTTCATTCACAAATGTTTAACACACAGATGATGCATGTAAGTTGAGTTCTTCTCTCAAACAGAAAACACTTTTTACATTGTGATGATATGTGGCAATACAGGAAGTGCTCCACGGTGTTTGTAAACTCCATACACCTTCACTAGAATCATTTGGACAGTATCAGTCTAGGAATTGCCAATAGTTACTGAACAATAGGTAAAAAGTGGACGTTAAATTGAAAACTACCATTTCATGATGTTACAAGGTGGAACAGAGGATTCTGAGCTTTGGAGATGTAAACAGGCTAATAATAAAGGATTACTCAAACAGGTGTGACTGAAACAAAACAACTCTGGGTATGTTTTTGCGAACGTAAGAACATTTTAGCAAGCACGAGGTGATTCTTCTCTGAGCTGGTTTGTCTGTTTTCAGCGTAATAAATAAAATCAAAATGGAAAAAAAAAAAAGAAAACATGCTTCTATTATAGCCTGTTTTTTGGCTATAAAGCTACATACTGTGGCTTTATGTTAACTTAACCCATATTTTTACTTTATACTGCATCATTACTGCATCATTAGTCCAATACTGAAGGATTTATCTCATGGTGGCACTGACAGATACAAAGAATTCAGTCCCCGCAATGTAACAACTACCCACCCACTCATCCACCCACACACAAGCACACAAACTAAAATCATGAACAAGACAACAGACAATAAATGAAAAACACATTTTGTAAACTTTTCCCAAATTTACAAGTGAAACTACTGACCATCATGGGTTGGTATAAGCTTTTGTCACTATATTAAATCAGCTTAAAAAAATATATAAAAATCACACAAAACATAGAAATGCTGACTTTAGATCAATATACCATGCCATCTTTCCCACTGATTTTTTTAGTTCACTCAAAGCAAATTATTTTAGTTTCAACACCTATTTAAAAATAAAAGGATTAATTGAAGAGGGGGTATTATGCAACATTTCCTTTTAGCTTTCTACCATGTTACAGTGCTCTACCCTCATCAAAACCATGAAAGAAGAGGTTTTAGATATCACCCATGTATGTTTGAGTAATTTAGTGATCTCACCCAGACCCTATTCAAACCCTCCTTACGGTTACCTGTAACCTGTGCAACGCTCAAGCCTACGTCACCCATACTTCCACATGACAATTCTCCATGAATATACAAAAGCATGATACAAAACACACACAGCAACTTCATAAACCTGTTGCGTTGTGCAGTAGTTTCATTAGTGGGATGCACACTGATTGTAATGTGATGGGGAGTGACTTAGCACAAAGAGCAAAGGGAGAGAAGACTAAGAGTGTCAAGAATGAAAATGAAACTTAAAAAACATGTTAACACTTTGTTTTCTGTGAATATAGCATTTTCAAAATAATAAAAGATTACGTCATGATCTACATGTTATATGACAACAGTTTCACTAAAGCAGTAAAGAATACCTTAACATATTTAGCCCTACTTAAAGTCAACATCATTATAATGTATTTATTTATTTTTGTGATGAAAGATCACATCTTAAAGTTTGACCAGTTTTGAGTGAATGTTTCTTTTGAATTTGTGAAAAATTGCAGTGATTTCGTGCCCCTTGTCGCTCTCTCACTCTTACATCACACGTTCAAACACAGTCTCTCCTCTCTCTCTCTCTCAGCCGTCGATTCAGGCGCCAGGATGTTCGCCATGGCAACGCCGTCCAGCTGTGCAACGGGCTGCAAATTGACGGTTAGTGCTGAAAACAAGTGCGCTGCTGCTGCCGAGACTTACATGTGCATTTTGCTTTGTCAGTGTTGTACCAGGGCTGGAAACAAAAGGCTGTGAGTGATATTAGAGACACATGTTGAGTTTTATTGGAGATGTCAAATGAAATTATGGAGATAGACCGTCCAAATATTCCCAAAAGAATCATATATAAACTGTCAGATGTTTTTACTATATTGATACTTTGTCATCAACATTCCCCTGTCTGAAGCTCTGTTACTCAAGTTAGACTTAATCTGAGTTTTATTTATTTAACACAAGTTTTCAGACTGTCTTAAAACTTTTTGACAGGTTTTGATAATATATTCATCATGTTACCAAGGCAGCTGCTGAGCATTCCACCAAAAGAGATACATGTAGAGCTCCCCAAACCTGAACCTGACCAAACATGATTGTACATTTAGATTTGTTTTTCTTTTAGTAACACATGTGAAACAAAAGAGTTCATTAGTCACCCATCATAATTAAATAAATTCTTATTGCTTATGAAAATATGTGAAGTAAAGATGTAGGCACCCATCTGACAAACTGAAAAAACTAAACAAAACTGTTATAAATAGGTCACAACAGCTTTACTAAATGACCTCTGACCTGTGTATATTACTGTATGTTTTGCATGTAGGCGATCAGTGGCAGCCTGCAGAGGAGAAGCGCATCTATGGAGTGGAGAACAACAGCACGTTACTGGAGTGTGTGCCACGCTCTCTACAGGCCAAAGTACTCTGGTTCACTCAGAGGGACGGGGACAAGCATGAAGTGAGTACTGGCTGGACTGTTCAGTAATAAGTACTTGGAGAGCAGTTCAAGTCTACAGGCTACTTAGTGATTTTGAAAGAATTATCCAATCACTGCATCAGTCTCACAGAATGAGGTTTTATTAAAAAGGTAAATAAATAAATAAAATAATAATAATTAAATAAAAAGTAACAAGAATCATAGTAACAAAAACAGATCGTCATTAACATTATGTCATATGTCATGTATATTAACATATTTCGCCTTTCTATTTTAAGTATTTACAATATACAATAGTATAGTACAATATATAGAAATATTATATCTTAATTGTTGTTCTGAAAGATCTGCAAAATTTTGTATATCTATAATTGAAACAATACAAACTACTGCATTATTTCGTAATCTTGGCTCATAGCTAAAGAATTGTTTTTTATGGTTTTTACTGATTTTGTCTTTTTCCAATTTTATAATGACTCAGCATAGCAATTATGATGAGGAAACCAGATATGTTGCGTAAAGTGTATCAGTGGCTGTGGGGGTTCATGTTTATGGTTAGTTTTTTGGTGTTGCACAGTCCAAGTTTTTGGCAATTTTAGTACAAACCTGGTACATTTGCAACTTTGTGGTCAGAAAAGTATACAAATGAGTGTGTCACGGTTCAAGTGGCCACCGCAATTTCAGGTATATGGTGACATCACGTAGGACTATTGTGATTACAGAAATTTGTGTCTGATCTCAAGCACCTGGCTGCAGGGGCGGAGCTTGATACGTGGATACCTGTTAGACCAATCACACCGCTCTTTATACCCCCAGACGCTGCCCCTGCCCACCTCTCTTTTCTTTACCCTGCATTCGATTATCCTTCTGAATCGGTTTTCCAAGGAAGTTGCCTAGCGACATGCGAGTCAGAATCCAAGATGGCTAAGCTCACTGTGACTAAATATGAACTGTTTTCATTGTGTTTAGACACTTTGGTGGTTTAAATGACAATTTCAGTCACTCCGTATTACTGCAATACCTTACTACGTCCATATCACTGCCTGTGGGTATGGTAGTTGGTGTTGTGATGTGGCCAGTATTGAAGGAATATTTAATTTAACGGGCATTAACGTCTCTAAGGTTGTAACGGAAGAGAAATCATAACATAAAAAGAAGTGCAAATTTAAAATTTTTAATGAATTAAAGTGGCAGCATTTTCATAAGATAAGGGAATAGTCATAATCATAATCCAGTCTGACACACAAAACATAATAATATGCTTCAAGCTCAGACGTGACGTCAAATCCAAGGTCCAAGTGGGAGTCGGAAGATAATCAAATACAGAGTCAGTCCTCCAGGTACTGCCCAGTTTAGCAGCTCTGTTTGGGCGGAGTTTAAGTATTCAGTCCCACTTTAATATTAATATCCAACATTCTCCTGAGCACCCTGAGCTGGCATATGATTGCACAGTGTGTATATGAAGGTGTGAACAGACAAGAGCTGGCACTAATCAACCCTCTCAGAATGTTTTGAAACACACAATATGCTGCTATTAGGTGAGATTTTCAAACAGATGAAAATATGAAATGGGAATACAATATTTGTCAACTGCCTTAAAGCTGGTTTACACATTTTACATACGAATTATAGCAGGTGTTATGTTGTGAAAGAGAGAAACTGTTCCGTGTTAGTTGACAATCACAGCTGTTGTTATATTGGCAGAATTACATGACAAGTTATGACTGACATTTGAGGTACATTTAGCTACTTTAAGAACATATGGAAAGAGATATGCAATGTGCAAATCAGCTTTAAAGCCTGATTTGTGTAACTTTTCTGGTGGAGAGTTCGTCAAATGCTTTTCTCTATGGAGACGTTATTCCTTTGTCAGGAATGTTTCACAGTATGGGATTAAACCTTTGTATCTTCATGGAGACCAAAGCAGACCAAGTTACAGGTCAGATCTGTGAAGAGACAACTTTGCTCACAGTCAGAATGTTTGTATTTTTGAGCTATAAAACCAGCTGTAATTTAATAAACGTAAGGTAGAGCTGTTTAATGTCATAGTGTGGAACATTTCAGGGCTCATTTCATTTTGGTATTCATTTCATTTTGGTATGTAATCAAATCCCACTTTTGCCTCTACAAAAAGTTCTCACTCTCCAAAAAGATTATTGAGAAATTATTCAAAATGGCAGCCATGAGTAAAATGAAACCACCGCAGTTGCAGACTAAGCAATGTCCATCCACGCTCCCATGCCTCTTAATGTTTATATGAATACTTAGATCAGTCAAAACAGAGATTTCTACAGAAGGATACTCAAACTGACACAAGCAGAGAGTGAAAGGCCAGTAGTTTGGAGAGGGTTAGGAGGCATTTGTTTCTGCTGCTGCGGTGGAGATTGGGTCACTGTTGTCTTCTGCATTAGACCCATCCTTCAATATTGTTGGAATAACTTGTCAGGAGTACCTAGGTGAGGTATTAGCTTGATGAATGACGGGGGAAGTGAAGGTGATTGGCAATAGTAAAAGAAAAAACTAAGGCTACGTTCAGACTGCAGCCTGAAGTGACCCAAATTAGATTTTTTGGCCCATATGCGACCTGTATCTGATCTTTTAATGACAGTCTGAATAACACAGATCAGATTTTTTTCAGACCCAGACCACTTGGATATGTGCTCCTAAAACTGATATGCGACTTCAGTATGAACGGCCAGGTCGCATTCATCCTACCTTGTCTAGTCAATGAAGGGAAAGCAAGGTTAGCAAGTTAATATTGGGGGGGGTATGGCTTGGCAGCCCTGACTCCAATGCCAATGAAAAATAAAGATCCTGCGAGCCAAGTAGAAGGAGGTTAAAGACTCAAACAAACAAAGTGGCTGTGGAGGGTAACCTGTCCATTTTACAAAGAACTGGACCGTATTTTGGGAGACAAGCATAAACACTGAGCATGCTCGCTGTGTGTGGCGTCATCGTGTCCTCCAATCCACATGCGGGACACTTTTGGGGCATTTAAAGTTCACACTGGAGATCACATACAAGTCGCATTTAATTGGAAATGTGAACGACCTCGCAAAAAAAATGGATTTCATTAAGCCCTGCAGTCTGAACATATCCTAAGAATTACTTTAGGGAAAAAAAAGCATTCTTACTGTGTTCAGGTCTGCTGGTGTCAACTGCTTGTCTCCATGGAGATGAATAAGTGTGATGCCATAGTGTGAAACCTTCCAGGGAAAAGTGTAAAATCTCCAATTAAAGTGCATCTTAACCATACTTGTGAACTTGTGAAGAAAGAGAGGAGAATCCCTCTTGGAACAGTAATGGTGGATTATTCTAGAGTACTGAAGAGTAAAGCAGTTGAGTTCAGACTAAAAAAAATAGATGTTAAAACTACCACTAAATGAAATCACAAGATGAAACAGAGCATTTTGAGCTTTGGCTAATCCAGAATTATTCAAATGTGTGAATGAAACAAAACGCAACTCCAAGTATGTTTTTGAGGAGGTAACAACATTATAAAAAGCTCGCAGGAGTCAGTTTTGTGTCATAAAGGACTTCTAAACAAACTTTCCACCTCTCCTCTCCTCCACAGATCCGGGGAGATGAGCGGGTGATCCTGACCCCCCACGGCCTCCTCTTCCTCAGGCTGAAGAGCTCCGACGCCGGCCTCTACGTGTGCCAAACTGTAGAACATGGCTACGTCCACACCCTGCTACACGTGACCCTCCATGTCCTCACCTCCAACAAAGTCGAATACGCCAACCGCCACCCCCAAACCAACAACCAACGAGACTCCGGCAAAACTTCCGCGCAATGCCAGTCCTCCTCTTCCTCCCCCCCGGGCCCTAGCGTTAGCCCGAGATCTCAAGCGCCCTCACCTGGTCACAACTCCAGACTGTGGTACAAAGACTTCCTTCAGCTGATCGGATACGGCGACGCGCAAAAAGTGGAGGAGTACTGCGAGAGGGTCTGGTGCTCCGATAAGAAACGTAAAAAAGCGAAGAGGAGATATGTCGCCATGGAGAGGAGAGGGAAGGGCAGGGGCGAGGAGAGTTCCAATCGCGCGCCCAGGCACACCACCGATACCTGAAATCGCGCGCACCAACAGCATTTTCCAAAAGGTCACATCTGCTCGTCGTTTTCATCTCGTAATAGCTTTTCTTTCGACATGGCTTCGGACAAGGACTGCGATTTTTAACGGGTTTTGAGGTACGTTCAGGAGACGAAGATGGAAGACTCTAAGAAGATACTGGAAGAGATTGAGAGATGCATATCAGCTTTAAGCCCCGTTCGGTGTATGGACTTGTACAGACTGAGAAATGTTGCGTATGCGTATTGACATTTTTAACGTCTTTTGGTACTATATAAATTATTTTCTGTTGGTGTTTAGATGTTGTAAACTGGAACGCATAGTTGCCGCTTTGTACAGTGAGAAATGCAATGATAAGCTTTATATTCTTGAGCCTTGTTTTCACTGAGAGCCATAGAGAAAATGCAGTCTGGTAATAGACTTGCTAACATTTAACTGCCCATTGTGTCCAAAGGAGAGAGTTCCATGAGTATGTGACAAGTTTAAAAGGGCACTATGAAACTTTTCTAGTCAAGGAGTCAGCCACTTGTTTGGAATGTTCAACAATATGGCATTAAACATATCTATCATGTAGTCTACTTGTTCAATTACATGTGTTTATCTTACTAAAAATATCTTGATAAACATGGATTCTTTCAGTGAACAGGCTTACCTCTCCACAGATCTGACTTGTAACTTGGCCTGGTGACGTCGTCTGCTTTTCTCTGTGGAGGTTGAAACGATTAATGCCATACAGTGGAACACTACGCAAAGCAAAAGCATGTGGGAGACCCTTATCCAGAAAAGTTACACCGTACAGCTTTAATGTGTGTAATCACTGAAATCAGAGGTGTATTGTCAAAAGTTGTAAATATGACTAACTAACTAACTACATTTTACTAACAAAAGAGAAGTTAAATAATTTTAAAGAGGGGATCTTATGTGAAATGTACTTTTCTGAGCTATCTACCATGTTATAACATTGTTCCCTCATCAAAAACATGCCTGTAGAGATTTTACATTTCATCCATGCATGTTTAAAGGTTGTATAGATAATTTTCCAAGGAACGAGAAATCCAGCGACTGTTTGTCCTTTTTCAAATGTTGCACATGTGTGAAACCACCCCCCCTCCCCTACAGCTCCCTACGTAGAAACACCTCCTCCCGCCTCCTCCTTACGCCAGAAAGTACTCATCGTACAACATGACTTGTAAACAACTAACTGCAGTGTTGGTTAAGCAAGACGGAGAAGTGAGGAGCAGGGGGAGGGGGTGCGCGGAGATTTCATGCGTGGAAAAGAAGTGAGGAGCAGGGAGAAGAACGGAACGGGGAGAAAGGAGCAGGAAGGGGTGCAGAGAGGGGTGCACGGAGATTCAGTGCGAATGAAGCTACTACTACAACACGCAGCAGCAAGCGGGCTCTTTCTTTGCATTGAAAATTACGTTTTCAGACATAGGATATCGCATTCGTGTCCTGAAAAATGTTTGTCTGGCTCTTGGAAATAAAAAAAAAGTACGTTTTCATAATAAGCAGAAGTGACCTGTCCAGGAGTAATTTGGCGACCAGTGCGTCAGTCTTTAGACCCTGCGTCTGCTTCAGTCGCGCCATCGCTGGAATGAATCTCCAAGAATCACCTTAGTTTGGCTTCGCTGCTTTTCCCCTTGTCTTCTTCTTTCAGCGACCTCAAAAACGGACTTTCTTTTGCGGCTAACTGCTCCTGGATTCTTGTCTGCCATTGCAACAAACTTTGTACTAACTGCGAGGAAGATATAGGTCAAAAAAGCCGCTAAGAACCATTGCGTTGGTGGAGTAAACAGCGTCTGTGCGTCTTGCGTCTGTGGACTGTGTGACAGTCGTACATAAACCACGTACCGGCGGCGCGCAGGCAAGTCAGTTACGCTAGAAACGTAGGGAGATTGATTGACAGCCTGTCAGCTAACAGATAACAAGGCAGTCTCGTTATCTATTGGCAAATGTTTAGCCCCACCACGTCCAGAGTTGATGAATTTTTATTCTCTTTTTTTTGGTCATCATAATTACAAGGCTACTGCACCTCTATAATGCTATCATTGACATTTTGAAACAAAAAAAAATCCTCCATACAACCTTTAAGTAATCAAATCTCTCTCAGGCACTATTCAAACCCTCTTTACAATTAGCATTACAAAGCTCAGCCCACAAGCCTATGTTACCCATGCTATACAATGTGCATTAGTTTCATAAGTGGAATGCATGATTGTGATGATAGCGCTCTGACAGGGGGAGTGACTTAGCGTGGGGAGCAAGGGGAGGGGGTTGTCTCAGTGTCAATAACAAATATAGCATTAGCAACCTACAGAAGTGTAATACCCCCTCTTTAAATAAAAAAAAAATAAATCAAAGATCAGGTTCTCATAATTACTGAGTGGGTGACAATTGTGTAAGTAAGTAAGTAACCACTCTTACTGAATAGCAGGCAAAAACTAGCAATGTAACAGGGCAAGACCTGCTTTTTGGAACACACCGTACTCCTTTAGACAATATTGCAACCTCCTGTGCTGTGAAAACAAGGCTTAACCTGACTTCTCTCAAAACGCATTCTATTTAAGCAACTGTAAAAGCTTTTAATGTAGTTACGTGTTCTCAAAAGTGCTAGTTATTGTGTTTGTGGGTCATGTATTGTATTATGTATTTGTCTGTATTCAGGGTGGCCTCAAAAGTCAACCGCGATGCCTGCTCCCCTCCCTTTCAGTTTGGTCTATTGCAGTTTGAATTATGGACTGTTATAATAAGCTGCAATGAAAGATAGCACGCGCGCACCCATATGGACAGACGAATGGTTGGCGGTGCCGTTAGCGAACATGCTAATGAGCTATTTTGTTTAATGCGGAGATGACGCTAACATTAAACACTGATGTGAAAGTGAGTGTGTGCGTGTCATGCATTATTGATGGTTTCATTTGGTTGTTTGGACAGGCAATGTGTTAGCTATGTTTTTATATTGAAATGGGAGTCGTATTACATAATGGAAGTGGCTTACATATAAATACTAGTTATTGGGCTTGTCAAAAGCATCAAAGCATAACATTTGTATTGAAACTAGATATTAATTTGAAGTATTTACACAGACAGAAATTGCATAAAATGAAATTGTATCATTGTGCCAACCAGTGATGGATAACAAAAAGACTCTTAATGATGCATCGATCCAGTTTATTCAGTCCTAATACCGATAATGATACTTTGACTTTAAGTATCTTCCAATACCCGATATTAACCGATACTAGTGTAAGGGATGGAAAATTGCACTTATTTTCTGATCAAACTTATAAAACAAGAGATCAAATTGTGTTATGTAACAGTTATTTATCCTTCAAAAAAGAAAACAACTTTGTATGTATAAAAGTTGAAACATTATGAAACATTTTAGGCCAAAATCAGCCTGTAAATAGTCTTATTACATCCAAATTAAAGCCCAAACAGGCTCTCGGCTGAATTGATATTTGAAAGCTTATACCTGATACAGCAAAATTTTCAATATTGGTGCCAATATTTGATACCAGTATCGGTACTGGTGCATCCCTAATTTTTGTTTAGATCTGATACCAAGTGGGCAAACTACATACTTCCATTCCAGTTGTCAGTCAATAAAATGCTTTATAATTAGATGAAGATCGGACACAGACTTACCTTTACTTCAAGAGCTGCTTATACAATATATCTGTACTGGGCTGAGACAAATTTAGCTCAAACACATGGAAAAAAATCAGGTACAGGGTCTTGAAAAGTTATATTACACAAAATATACTCTTGTGAGTTTTACCACATTTTATAATGTCTCAATATTCTAAAAAAAACATAAAAAAATAAATAAAAAAAACATACCTAAAGCTGTGTTTGTTTCATTCACACATGTTTGAGTAATCCTTCATTACTGGTTTCTCTACATCTCCAAAGCTCAAAATGCGGAAGGTAGTGAAGGTGTGTGGAATTTAAAAACAGGGGGAATACTTCCTGTATCATCACATGACATCACAAGGTGGAACAGAGTGTTGTCTGAGAAGAACACAGCCTAAATATGCAGGGTTTGTGTGTTGAACATGAGTGAATGAAGCAAAACTCAACTCTGGGTATATTTATGATGAGAAAAAAAAACAAAAAAACATTATAACATAGATCAGAAAATGGTGTAATATGGGCCCTTTAAACTTTGAATCTCACCCCTTATTATCTTCTTTCTAAATATTCTGCAGATATTTCCTTGGTCATCAACCTAAAACCACGTGACAAAAGCAACATTAAACCCTAATAGATTCCCACAGCTCTGTCGTCAGGCCTGGTTTGGGGCTCCACGTGTTGCTCTCATTCTAATTCCACCTCTCTCTGTACCTGCGTCTGCGCTCGGGGCATGTCTCATTTATTCCGCACGGCTGCCATAGCAACAGGCTCTGAACCATTCGGCTGCTCAGCTCATCAAAGCGCTGCCGTTTCTCTCTGTCAACTCCACCAGAGCTGTGGCCCCTGGGAACGAGCAAGCAACAGGGCCTGAAAACCTTTCAGCTGTTCAGGTTCTGGGTTATAGGGTGCTAAAGACGGCTAATTAGGACTAAATTGGGATTAACAAATAAAGGCTAAATAGGGTAAATGAAGGATGCAATCAGGAGTTGTTAACTTATCAAACATAAACAGGTCTAAACAAGTTTTACTCTGGTCTGAACTATGAAAAAAATAAAAAATACATAAAACACTATGACAAAAACGTGACTAAACAGGATTAAATCAGGTCTAAAGTTGGCCAGATTTAAACCAGGAACATCATACAAGAGGTAACTTATTGAAGGACTAAAAAAACAGAACTTTAATGTGCAAATATTGCCTTGGATCCAGAGTTCACACTTCTCTAATACTTTACAAACGTGTGAGTGTGGTCATGTGTGAATCTCCCCATTTTCACATGTGCGTGATTGACAGGTGGGGACACACATGGTCCGCCCGCTGGAAAAGATAAAGAAAAATAAATGTCACAAGGGGCTGAAAAACACAACGGATTTCTGTAGAATCATTCAGTGAAGCACTCAACTTATTTTTGTAAACTGTAAATGATGACCAGTGACCTTCTTTGTTTCACATGTCACTGAAATAAACAAATCTGATTGGACGTTCATGTTTGACCAAGATTAAGATGCAACAGAGGATGCAAGGACCAATCTCTATACACCCTCACTAGAGTCATTTGGATTATTTCAGATCTGGAATTGCCAAGTCTCTACTAAACAAATGGTAAAATGTTGCTGTTAACTTGAAAGCTACCACTACATGAAATCACAAGGTGGAACAGAGCTTTGGAAATATAGACAGACTAATGCAGGATTACTCAGGGCCTGTTTACATGAGAATGCTTGTGGGTAAAATTATATTTTATCGGAAGTGTCTTTTGTTTAGATGGTGACAATGTTTTAGGGGCTAAAAAAACCCTCCAGAGTGGAAAAGCTGAATACACTCCGCTGTAGTGTTTCCGTCTACACTGCCCAAGACGTAAAATTCTGGTCAGATCTGCTCACGTCACGTATGTGTTTAAGTCACATACATCACCACCTAGCCGCTTGGCATTCATACCCAGTCGAATTCCATGCACTTTTGCGTCACCGTATGCATGCAGATTTCCTCCCGAAAACGCTTGTCTAAATGCAGAATAAAAAGTGAAGATGCAACACCACTTTTGCGTCTTCTGTTCAGACCGTCATCATATAAACATCATATAAAAGCCTCAAGCATGTGTGAATGAGAAAAACACAACTCCAGGTATGTTTTTGAGGAGGTAACAACATTCTAACATGACTAAAAGCTCACAAAAGTCAATTTTGCATAATATAGGACCATTACCCAGATAGTAGCATTTAGAGGCAAAAGTGGGCAGAGCACAGATGCTGTGAGTCTGATCCCATACATTCAAAGACTAGGTTGAAGTGCCTAGGTCTAAACTAGAATTTAACCAGGACTAAAATGTCTATGATGTTGAAAGCATAGGTTTCAAGCATTCTGTTCTGTTCACTCTTGTTTGTGTCGAGCCCGGTGAGCAGAAGCCATTGAGGATATCTTTAAAATCAGAGCCATAAACTTGTCCGACCAGGGCTAAGACAGCGCCCCCGTCTCTGCTCCAGACAGGCCATAAACAGTAGAGAGGAGAGGGGGAGTATTGATCTTCTCACAACAGGATGGGTCAAAGGCCACTACAAAAGACTGAGTTACTACTTACTTCACATCATACTCAGACTTAAAGGTCCTATATTACATACAATTGGTTCATGTGGGCTTTAAGCCATGTTAGAATACTATTACCTAATCAAAAACATACCTGGAGATGTGTTTTGTTTCATTCACACGTCTGAGTAATCCTGATTTATTAGTCTGTGTACATCTTCAAAGCTCAGCATGCTCTGTTCCACCTTGAGGTGTAATGTAGTGATAGTTTACAGATACCTTTTATCTTTATTTCAATAGAGCTGAGAAATTCCAGAGATGAAATTATCGAAATTATTCTAGTGTAGGTGAAGTTAAAGCACTGACATCAAAAGGTGGAACAGGGTGTTTTGTGTTTGAGAGAAGAACTCAGCCTAAATATGCAAGGTCTGTGTGTTAAACATGTGTGAATGAAACAAAACACAACTTGAGGTATGTTTGTGATGAGGAAGCAGCATTATAACAGACAGCATAAATATACTGTATGGGCCCTGTGTAACTGTTATGGTGAGGGTTGTCTCAATTCTTATACGTATGACATCCTCACACGCGTTTCTTATTTGGGTTGCCAGTTCCAATGATGGAATTCAATTGTTTAGGCCTAAGAACTTTCTCTGAGCTGAATCTTCACTCCCTAAACCCCAGTACCTACAGACAATCATGCCAAACATGCGTGAAAGAAATAAAACACAACTCCAGATATGTTTTTGATGAGGAAACATTATAACATAGATCAGAAAATAGCGCAAAACAGGTTCTTTAAGTTCAAAACTAGGGCTGTCAAATTATCGCGTTAATTGCGATTAATTAATTACAGTCATATTTAGCGCGTTATGTTTTTTAATCACGTTAATCTCATTTTTAATCTCTAACTTTAGTGTTTCTGTATGTGAGTTTCTTTATTATAAAACCAGTTTTTATGTGTTGTTGGGACAACAACACACACACACACACACACAAAAACACATTTATACATTTTTTTTATTTCGGTAATTCCACTCATTGCCGGAAACCCACACAAAACGCGCGCAGTAACAGCGATGTAAACGTCATGTTAACGTTGGCGGCATCAGTCGCACAATGGACGAGGTCGAAGAGCCAGTAGAACAGAGTCAGCAGCGCACAGGTAAAAACACATTCGTGTCTTGGAAATTATTCTCCCGACGTGAAATATAAAAGAAAATAACAAATATAATATCGCCTGAAAACAACCTGCATAGGCTCATGATGTCTGCACTACTGTCCTATAGTGACCTGCCACATGAGGGACACGCACACAAACACACACAAACACAAACAAACACACACCTTCATCATCGTCATTAACCTGAGAACGCGCGGACCACGTTTCCTTCCGTAGTTACTGCGCGGACACCGACGTGCTCCCGTGAGCCGCGTGTGGATTGTGTTTTCTCGCGTACGCTGCGTAAACCGCGCTTCCTCCTGTGCGCCTCTAAACCAGAACTAACACCAAGACTAAAACCGGGACTAACCCAGAACTAAAACCAGAACTAAAACCAGGTCTAAACCAGAACTAAACCAGAACTAAAACCAGAACTAAAACCAGAATTAAAACCAGGTCTAAACCAGGACTAATCCAGGACTAAACCAGGACTAAACCAGGACTAAACCAGGTCTAAACCAGGTCTAAACCAGGTCTAAACCAGGACTAAACCA